TTTTGAAGCACGGCGTGGTAACGTATATGTATATATGTGATAAGTGACAAGTATCTATATGATAGATGGAGTTTGAACTATACAGGCCTCACTGGTTTCAGACCCACTGAATCAATATACTGCAGGTTTGTCACAGTTCGCGACATCATTAAATCGTTTTGGATATTGGGGAGTTGATGTTTTGTATGACGCTTCTATGAGGCTGAAATTTCATTTTCTGTAAAAACCACAGTCCTGCTTTTACAGTGTTCTGCCTCCAGGTTTCTTATGACTTCACTAACCTGTAAACATAACATCCGAGCGGTTGCACATGTCTGTATGTTTGTGTACCTGTAACTGCAGGTGTATGGATGAATTACAGCATCATGTACAGTAAATGGACCACCTGCTGTAAGGGGGAAAAAATCAAATCAGTTTTTCTTTCTTCTAATTATTTCTTGCCTTGTCTGTAATTTCATTAACCAAGCTTTGTTAAAAAAAAAAAAAAAAAAAAAGCAGAAGTCTGTCAGAGGTAATTAAAAGATAAGGTGAACAGTACAGTCTACTTTGCCCTAGCCACATTAAGACATTTAGCTTCTACAGTGAGAGCGTAATATCCCCTCAACATGCACACTCACATGACACACACTGAAGGCATGGCGGAGGTGCTCTCCCACCTGCCAACAGACCCCTCACAGACATGTGCACTGAAGGGAGATGTGTTGCAGTCCTGTGGCGTCGGACTGGTGAGATATGAAATGTGACGGGTGCACAATGGTTGTCAACATGAATGACTCATAAACAAGCAAAACATTAGGACAGCCTACACTGTGGTGTTCATTTTTGCAGAGATTGAAGAGGAGGCCCGACACCATCTCGAAAACCACTTCTCACTTCCTTTTTTTTTTTTTTTTTTTTTTTTTTTTTGACGTTGTTTTTACGTGGGCAGGAAAAAAAAAAAAAAAACCTCGCTCCAGTGAACCAGTCCACACGTGTGGATCATTTCGACTCAGTGTGCTTCTGTCTTGCACATGGTTGGTTTGACCCTCAAGCAGATTATGAACAACATATCATATCCTTTTCTCAAAGACGTAAAGGAATAAATATGATTTATTTATCATTTGATTTATTATTTATGCCAACACTGTTACCCAGAGGTTCTAGCAAGTTTTATCTAAACAACCTAAGCTATTGTTAAAGGAGGTCTTTTGACTGACTTGAAGCATTTAAGACACATTTGTTCAGGAAGAGAAAAAAAATTATGCTGCTCAGTGCTACTCATAATTTCAGAAAAAGACTTGGTCTGCAGAGGCTGTTTTGCGGCGTTATAGCTAGTAAAACAAGCATCTCTATGGCTGTATAATGAGCACAGATGGGGAGTTTTAAAGAGAAACTGACACCCTGAGTATTGCTGTGGCTACTCCACCCTCCAGCTGCAAGGATGAGAAGCATAAAAAAAAAAGAGCAGATTAGAGGAGAATGGTGGATCAACTTCATCAGTTAATTAAACTCTATTGCAGCTTGATGAGCAATTAATCAAGGCAGCGTGCAGAGTGTCAGGCAGGGCTGAGTTCTTCGGGTGCGGTATGTGTGCTCCGTACAGTATGTTCCCAGGGGGGCAGCCCTGTGGGGAGCAGCACTTACCAAGTGAGCAGCCCTAAAAACTGTACAGGGTGTAATGGGCTGGGTTTATGTAAGCAGCTATCAATCACTCTCTGACATAAGCCTGCACCCTATTACAGTGCCAGGATTAGGCTCCTCTCAGGGCTGAACTCACTGAGAAGCCACTTGTCTAAGTAGATTGAATTTCAGGAGATGCTGAAAAGTATTGGATTATTATTTAGAGGAAAATATTATTGGTGTTTAAAGCAAATGCCGGCACCATCTCAAAAGGCAGAGGCAATAAGTTAATCACGTTAATATGGGAGAAAGATGGGCTCTAAGCATGTCAAAAATGTAACTCTGAATATTCTCAGCCTTTAAGATTTAGGTCTTATCTTTCATCTGACATCTGACTCCCTAAATCTGATGGTTTAGTTTTTATCCTTTGTCTGTTACCCTCTTTCATCTACCTCTTCATCTCTTTCAAGACTGTGAAGTAGGCTTTTTTTTATGCTATGGAAATTCGAGTTGGCAGTTTGTGACTAAATGCAGTAAATTTATTAACGAGGCCATGGGGAACATTAAAAGTCAATTGAAGGAGGCTATTAAAAGCAGGATTTTAATTGGGTTGGTCCCTCCACTAAACCTTTTTTTTTTTTTTCTGTGTCTCTTTTTTTTTTTTTTTTTCTCCAAGAGCAATGATACTAAAAAAGTTCTCAGTTAATGTGTTCACTGTGTGCTAGTCCTTGAAAGAAAGTTCCCTATATGTCATGTTAAATTTGACTTCATATTCAAGTGTCAGTAATATAGAGGATTGTGTGAAAATCATGTGTTGTGTGTTGTGAGATCTGACGTGTCTGCTGCTTCTTATACTGAGGCGCTGCTGTCCCCATGGCTCTAGCTGAGGAGTTTCAAGAGGGCCGGCTTACAATTAACACGAGCTTTTACTACAGCACCAGTGTCTAAAGATCAACCTCTCACCCCATTCACATCTGAAAACCTGACACGAGCTGTAGCCGTCTGCTTTTCAGCTTTTGTTGATGAGTGTTTATGCCTCGGGCAGTCGGTAAATTGTGTTAGTACTGTTGCTTTAATGCATCATCTTATATAATCTGTTGAAATTACATTACAAAGCATACAATTGTCCTAGTTTTGGTAACATGGTGTGACACATTACAAATGGTTTTAATTGCACTTTAGCTTCTGGCTCTTGAAACATGCTCAACTCATTCTGCACTTTAAGGGAACTGGGCTCTTTGTGTGTGTGTGTGTGTGTGTGTGTGTGTGTGTGTGTGTGTGTGTGTGCGCGCGCCCGCGCGTGTGTGTGTGGGGGGGGGGGTTGAAAAGAGTCAGTTTGTGCATATCGGAGAGTTAGAGAGAGAGAGAGAGACAGAGAGAGATGGAGATGCAATGTACTATTTGCTGTGCTGACTGGATAATGACATGCAGAGTGCTGCGCTGCTACAGGAGGTTGAGCCTCCAACCAGATGCTCCTTTCACTGCAGCTCATAAGCCAAGAAAGAAAGAGAGAGTGTGTGTTTGTGTGTGTGTGTGTGTGTGTGTGTGTGTGTGTGTGTGTGTGTGTGTGTGTGTGTGTGTGTGTGTGTGTGAGAGAGAGAGAGAGAGGCTGCACCAACATTTGCAATCATCTGAGCTGGATTAAGCAGTAGGATTCAGGGGCTTCGATCGTGTGCTGTAAAAAGAAGCTTATTAACGTAGATACCAATCACATGTGGATCTGAGGAGACTCAGGCTCAGCTGGGTTCACACTTCCTATGAGACAGTCTCTTTATGTTTCCATGTTTATGTTTTTATCTAATGACGTCAGGGTACAGTGAAATTTAAGGATTCAGTCTCACACAAACTCCTCAGATTTTCCTGATATCCTCTCAGCAAGCTCTGAAGCTACCTTGAAAGTGATGACACGGGTGTGTCTACAGTATTTTGAATGAGAGCCAAAAGGGTATTGGGTGTAGGTGTGAATGTGTTTGTGATGGATGAACAGCTGAACCAGAAAAAAAAAAAGAAATAAAAATGTGTGTGTTTATTGCTCTTTAATGGACCAGATAGCAGCAATACACAGATGGCCATAACAGGTACATAACACTGGAGCTAAGGCGGATACGCTTGACCATGACCATTAACTAAAGGATTTATTTAACGGATGTTATGAACCCAATAAAGGACACAGTATGCCGATTTGTGCTGTTATAATGTTTTTACAAAGTTTTCAAAGAGAGCACAGAAATTCCGGGAGCAATACGCAAACATATACGTATGTTAAATGTTGCTCCCGGTCCAAACCATTCATCCATACAGTCATCTGCCTTATGGGCAACCCAGCAGGTCTTGCAGTTAGATTTTTTTGTACATTGCATATACAAAAAAAAAAAAAAAAGTTGTGATAAGGAGTGTTGCTCAGGGATAGCATAAGCTGCTATGTGTTCCTCTAAGGGGTGACACATGTAAACACCATGGGACAGCAACACTAGATAAAAAGAGAAAAAAATTATACTGATGACATCATGTGCAATGTCCTTATGTTTTCTCGTTTCACAATGTTTCTTTCAAGTCTTTTTTAAAGAGTAAATAAAAAAAACAAAACACAACTCTGTGGCTTTTCTGACTTACATCACATTAAAATCGGTAACTCTTGTTCATGTAATTACTGTATATCAAAACAAATACCGTTTACAGTAAGTTTAGTATCTGGTGGATGTCAGTGTAAACCCTCCGGACCCGTCCTTCTGATGGGAAAAGCATGTTATGTTTAAAATGGGCTCCAGGCCAAAACGCAGTGGCCATATGGTTTCTTTCATTAAGCTGGTGGTCCACTATAAAAGGCGCAGTCCAGCTAATGCAGAGTGAATGCTGTCTAGAAAAGTTTGTATAATTCAATTATGTCATCAATGCCATTTCCTTTACTGTAACTTGAAATAAATATTTAATCTACACGAACAAAATAATGTGTCTCTAAAATAGATGTTTGCTCAAATCAAGTTATCATGAAAGTATGTGGGTGTATTTTGGGACTGTAGAAAAATCACTGGTTTCTTTGACTTAAAGAAAAATTGCAACATATTTTCTGTTTTAATTAATTAAGTATATTTTTATTGGAATAATCCACATAATAATCCATTTAAATAAACCAAATCGCACAATAGAACAACAACATGTATTCTATTCCATTGTTAATGTTCCAACCATTCTTTATTCTTGAACCAAGAGCTGGGACCGCACTGGATATAACACATTAACACATTTTTGACTCCTAATACTTTCCTGTTGTTTTCTTTCTGTTGAGATGCAGAATAAAGTGAATTAATTTTCATACGGTCTCTTAGCAACACTGGGCTTTTCAAAGCAGTGATGTCCATCGTCTTTAAGACCTTTTCTTTCCTGTGTTCTTGTCTTTCCAGGAAAAAGGGAACATTGCCGTTGTATTTAATGTCGGAACAGATGACATTAACATTGAGGAGACATCAAAGTTTGTAAATGACGGAAAGTACCATATAGTGAAGTTTACGAGGAGTGGGGGTAATGCCACTCTGCAGGTGGATGACCTGCCAGTCATTGAGCGCTACCCCACAGGTGAGTCACCCACTCTGCCTTTAATTACATCTGCTGCTGCTTAAAGGCCATAAAATGACCGAGAGATTATCAAGCCAACTATTAAAGCCTTATTTGTCAGGATGTTTTTATGTTGACTTGGCATGTGCTTTAATTGCTTTTTATGTTTCTGTTTCCAGCAGCTGTTGAGAATAATACCAGTGTTGTTGAGTTTTTTTCTCATCTCCAGCATTTATCACTTTACATTAATCAATGCTGTTAAACAACCTGGCTATATGCAAATAGGTCGCACTTAAGAAATCCCATAGTCTAAAATAAACCTGCATGAAAGGGCAACCGCCCACCCTGTCTACACCTGCTTTATATTCCCCATATACATGAGTAATCCACCCACAGCATATGTTCACAGTAAGTCAAATCAATAGGCTATTTACAGACAAATTACCACTTTTATTGTGGCAAGTAATTGTGTGCCAGTTCAGTATTTATTTCTCTGCCAATACAGTAGATTGATTGAATTAAGGCAGGCGGGCAGACAAACCTGTAATAACACAGTCAAACTAAATGAAAACCTGAATTAATCTGACGCTCGCTCAGAATTTAATCCCAGGTGATCAGATATAGTACAGCAGCTGTTTTTTTTAACCGTGACAGTTCACTTTTACATTCATCATTTCCACAGCACACACCACAGCTACTCATAGACAAAAACTGAAGCTGGATTAATTTTCTTTGCCATTAGTGTCACTACTAATAATTTCATTTGTGTAGCACTTTTCGTAAACACACTTTACAAGACCGTAGAAGATGAATTCACTAATTACTGCCCTGTGTAATGAGCATTTAGTAATTGAAAAAGCATAATATATTTAATAATTACTCCTTTGTATGACCTGAACACTTGTACTGGTGCTTTCTTGTAAAGTGTAGTGGTAGCTGATAACTTTGTCTGCGGAAGGGGAGATTCATTATGGGGAAAATGCAACCCCCGTGTTATTTGCTGGGGGAAAATATGAAGTAATCTCCTGTCGGAAATGGAAAACAACTCAGCAACACTGATATGTTTCTGTAAAATGTCAAGATGTTAGTAGTATGATGGCTCTTCAAGAGAATTTAAATGCCACCGCTTGTGTTGTTGGAATTGTTAACTTTTCTAACTGCTTAAAGGCTTTGACAAAAGCTATAGGAGATTAAAGGAGTGTGAATGTGTCCGTTCAAAGCGCAAACACCAAAAGTCCACAAGATTAAAAGCCGCAGCTCCAAATCAAAAACATTTGTTATATTCTGAACATGCATAAAAGGACTGGGCAATGGGACAAGCAGAAGACATATTCAACCTGCCCGCCCTCCCACCCTTTCTGCATAATGTTTGGTGACCTTTTTAGCTATGACCAGTGCATTCATCCAAATGAAAGAGGGTTTTATGACTGGGACTCAATCCTCGCTGCTTGCCTCAGGTGACAAAGGGAAGCTAATGGCTTTTGACATGTGGTGGACATGGCAGAATGCACAGCAGGGTTAAATGCCTGGATGCTAGCATCTCAATCTTCATACAGCAAATACCCTCAGTCCCCAAAACACCTTTGATACATGCAGATGTGCTGGTGCTGCTCATGACCTGGGTGAAGTCACTGAAAAAGGTATTTTTAATCGTTCATTGTACTATTTAATGCCCAGCAATGGAAAACGGATCACAGAATATTTCACGTTGTTAACGCAGATCTGCATATTTGGAACATGTTTGGGGTCAAATGTAGAAAAAGAAATATGATAAATATAAGATGAATTTTGACTTGACTTACGATAAGTGCTGAGTTATAAATGCTGCAGGGAAAAAGTGACCCACCACATCCCCACCAATCATGCGACGAAGCTAAGTCCAGCTACCTTATTAGGCTCGTTGCAGACTAATTACATCTAATCACAATCACTCTACAGCTCCTCCCCCTCCCCCACCCCACCCCCCAGCATACAAAGCCATTATTCTCTCAGCTCGCCTGTAGTTTGATTAGTATCCATGTATGCCTCTAACGCACTCATAATAGCAGCCCTCAGCCACTCTTAGGCCACTCACAGATCAACAGTGATTATAATAAGAGTAGACAGCAAAGATAAAAATGATGGCTGGAGAGTGAGAAAGACAGAGAGGAGGAGATTATATGGGAGGGAGCAATCATTCTCAAAGCAAGGAAATAATTGCTTCACCAGGGCCTATACTGCTGCCCTCGTAATCTCATTAAAAAGGCTCGTACTGCATACTTATGGGCCATTAAAAGTCTTTAGCACAATTATTAGAATCTAAAATGCAAAAACGCACACGCAGAGACATAACCAGCCCTTTCTATTTGTTGTAGTTTCGTCCTCTTTCCTTTATTCTCGCCCCGCTTTCATTCTGCGTCGCACACAAAAGGCCGGGCAGCAACAAAAAATTCAGCCCCTTCTCCCGAGTCTTGGCCATGGAAGTAATACCATCACAATGGTGCTGCCAGGCCCGCAGGGTACAGTGCAGTATCCTATCGGAGCACCCAATGAACACACGCCGCACACAAAGATAATGGAGAGGTCCCTGGCCTTATTCTTTTACTGTTATCAGAGCGTGGTGCACTTACAGAGCTCTCTGTCTCTCACTCCACTCCCCTCAGCTCTCACTTCCCTCTTTTTCTGTCCTTTCTCCTTTATCTGTCCAACCCTGCCCCCTATGTCGATCTCCCCCACCGTCCCCCTGTCCTGTTTTTCCACCTTGCGGTGCAGAGTCTGATTTGTGGGATACAAGAGGAGGAGGGTTAGCTTTATCCATCAAAGCTCCGTCCTACCTCCTCTGGTTTCCCCTCTGTTCTATCCATGAGCCGCTTCAGCCTATTGTGCGAGCAATCATCATTGAGCATGCTTAAAAAATGGTGCAATGACTGCCACAGCCAGAGTATAGGGAAAAAAAAAAAGGGCGAGCAGAATAATAAAAATAATAGTGAGATTTGTGTATGTCCCTCCTTTTTAATTCTCCCAGCTCCATGAACAGAGGAAGCATTTGCATATTTGTTCATTTAATGTGGCGAGTGTCCTAGGGCTTGTAATGAGATAAATCCCCCACCTTATCTGACCACTTTATTAACAAAAAAAGAAAACAAATGAGTGAGGGCAAAGCGGGTCGGCTGGGACGGCTCAGCTGAATCGCTGCTGTCTGGCGGAGGAGATAAGCCAGACTGTCCCATACCAAACCAAATCATCACTCGGCAGCAGTCACAGGCTCCGCTCACAGGCAGGATGAATGGGCTCTGCTACTGCATCGAAGCCCAGGGGATAGCATTGTTTAACACTCCGGTGTCCCACAGTTGGGATCAATACATGATCAGACCTTGATTATATCCACACTTAATTAACCTCAGTATAAGCATAGACTGAGTCTACCACGGGGTGCAGAGCCAAACAGATAAAGAGCTACTGTCTTTGAAAATGGAGCATGTTCTTGCACAAAAGTAGAGGATTTTAGCACAGTGGCACGCTGTGTGTGAGGAGAAGTGTGTGTGTGTGTTTGCTCTGTTTGTGAGCGCCTGCCCGCCTGGCTCTCCTATGTGTCTTTTCTGTTCGTTTCCTTGTCCTCTTCTTCAATAAATTGTCGTCATTGTTACAAAATTACGATAGCAGCATCGGGAGAAACACAAAAGCTGTCATTTTAACCGAAAACTACAAGACATCCACAACATGTTCATATATTGTGACTCTCAAGAAACCAGCAGGCATTTATAGAACAGAATTTGCACAAATTAATGGTATATATATATATATATATATATATATATCCAGTCCTCATCGTCCTCCCAACAGTTCTAGGCTAACTGTTCCCCAGAGCCCAGTTTGATTTTGACCTCTCCTCAGATGAGGTATCACAGTAGCAGGAAACAGAGAGGTGACATAACTAACACCCCATGACTGACAAATGGAGGTGACAGGAATTAACAAAGCCCATGAATGCTCCATGACAACAGCAATTAATGGATTATTCATTAATTTAACACATTCAGAATATAAGGAAGTGCAGCTGCGTGTGCGCCTGCTTGTTTGGTTAGTCATTTGTTTGTGTGTAATTCTTCTCCTATCGTGCACAGCACTAAGGCGAATTATGTGGTGCAGAGCTCCAGCAGCCCCGCATGAGGGAAATACAGTGTGTGTGCAGCACCAGGCGGTATAGAGGCGTTACATAAGCCGAAAGCACCTGGAGGCTGGTGCGTTTTGCATCCACATACCTGAAAGTAGCTTAGTGGATTTCTAACTGCTGCATAAATTAAATTTATTGCTCAGTAATTTTAAGTTACAACAACACTGTCCAGCCACAGAGTCTTAGTCTTAGTGATATTCAGATTTTTTTTTTTTCTTATTGCCAACAAATCACATGAAAGGACCAAACCCAACAATGAATTGATCCTACTAACAGGTATTGTCTGTGTAACCAAAGCCTGATCTAGCTTATTCCTCTGTGCCACAGAGCCCCATTGTTGTCTCAACACAGAAATGAGCCACACTGTTGCACTGGCTCACACATTCTGTCATTATGATGAACGTGGACTCTGTGGTTTATTTTGATTCAATCACACCCTACACCGTGCTGCCAGAGGACCAAATGTGTATTAATCCGCAGGTGAAAACAAGTCCCCAACAAATGCACTATTTTTTCCCGTTTGAGTGACGTATATATCATTAAGCATTTATTTAAAAATGTATGTAGTTATGACCCATTGTTAAAGACAGAGACAAGGCTTGGGACTCTTTGCATGAGTTATGTTGACAGTTTCAAATGCACAGAATGCCGCCAGCCTCGTCCTTTAACGCCATCATCAATCAGTAGAAGTGTAAGTACACATGAATGTACAAGTGAGTATAAGTCCATGTCCATTGCAGCTGATTTGTTGCCGAAAGGTACAGTGTCACTTCAGATGGCTAGACGTTGTTTCGGAAGTGTGGCTCCAACATTGGGAGATCTATATCAAATAATATACGCTGTGTCCCTGTGTGGCTTTGTTGTAATGCAGAATGTATCTTTCTGCGTCAATGTTGGGGGAGAAATGTTTCACTAAATCTCCTTCACGAGCCTTTGTGCTCCAACTTGGCACAATCAACTGCAGCCAAATTCCATGAGCTGTACAGACAAGCTTTAAACCCTTTTCTGTGTAGCTGATCCTCTACAGTAATTCAAGCTGATGCGATTAAAAAATGTCTTTTTATGCGTCTTTTTTACCTCTAAGACCTTTCATCAGACCAACTGTGCATCTGTTACAAGGTTACCTCCTTTCTTTCATGTCTGCGCGATCCTTTCCTCTTGGAAGCTATTCTCCACTGAATCGTTGTTAGCTACCTGATCTTTTATCTGCCAGAACTGAATTAATATAGTTGATGGGACAAACATTGTCAATCTGCCGGAAGAAAGGATCGGACTGAATTCAATCTCAGCAGACAATACCAGGGGAAAAGCACTCAGAAACAGTGCCACTTTGCTGATAGTCTTCTGCTCTGGAAAGGTTATTGGCCTCGGCAAAAGGGTGATGCAGAGTTTGCCCTCATTAATGCCAAAGTGCCCCTCCAATGTTGAAATGGGTTTTTTTTTTTTTGTAGCTGCTCTTTCTCCCTCCGGACTCTTATTTGGTTTATTCTCTGAATCCTGTTGAGGAACTACTTTTTCATTGACTCTCACCTCATCAGTGCACAATGTTTAGAGAGTCAAACTCATGACTTTTCTTCCTTTACGACTTGTAGCTTTTGTCAAAGCCGTTTTTATGAAAGTTTCTTCATTGAATGTATATCTACCCTGACATTGTCTTCTGACTAGATGCTCTGAATGTATACTGTGTTAATTGTTGTATTGCATTTAGCTTATTATTTCATGTCAATTAGGCTATTTATAAATGGGGTTGGCATTTGTAATATGTTAAAGTTAAATTGTTTTATCCTTTAAACCATAAAAGGTTGATTCCACAATAAATTTAAATGATGTTCTTTTTGAAAATGTATATAACTAGTTTAAAAGCCAGTTAAAAAGCTATAGAGGGTCAAGACAAAGGGGATGGAAATATTTGGGTAAAGATTTTGTAATGGAAATGTATAAAGTTGTGATTTGGGTTGGTTTATAACATAGTTCTATTAACCTAGATGAAACATTTCCGTGCTAGTTCACTTATTTTCAATTAATATAGGCCTAATTTGTTGGCTAAAATAAAATAAAATGAGTGACGTTTGTTCAAATAATGTTTCAGTAAATATTGTTTTTTTAAATATACAAAAAGTTTTAAATATAAAAACCTTGTGCAGTTGTATAGCTCCAGCATTAAGTATGAACATTTAACCTTTGACCTTACAGATTGTAACCAATGAAATGTCTCTTTAAACTTTAAAGGCAACAATGATAACGAACGCCTGGCGATTGCTAGACAGCGAATCCCATACCGACTTGGTCGAGTAGTTGACGAATGGCTACTCGACAAAGGTAAAATCACTGATTAAAATTTCAGATAAAATAATTTGATCATAACCAAGTTGTAGCACTATTTTGTAAATAATAAACCTAAAAAATAAATGTTCAGTTAAACTTTAAAAACAAAATGATTTGAACAGTTAAATTTAGTTTGTAGTGTTTCATACTTTTCATAATAATGTATTTATTTTATAGATGTCAGCTGTTTTAATACGTGTTTATTGTCAACTTAAGGTTAAAGGGACTGTAAATATGAATTTAAATCCACTTACTGAAGTAATATCAGCATTGTTAAAATGTCTATAAATTACTGTAGCATTTTGCTGTAAACATCTAAATGATAAATTTAAAAGTTGTAGTTTAGTGATTAATTTGTCGCTAAGTGTTATTTGAAACACTTTTGAAACCTATACAGTATACATACTGTACAGTACAGTACTTAGTGTCATTTGATCTATTCTGACTAAACTGCTAGCAATGATAAATAGTGTGCAATATGAATTGGCATCAGAATTTTGAGTCCCTTTAACAGACATTGTAAATATGTATAGGGCATTAGATCAAGGAACTGTAATATAAAACAAACTGAGTGCATGCTTTGTTTTTTATAGTTCAATAACTAATTCATATTTTTCACTTAAAATGTGAAATGAGCCCTATCATTTTTTTGTTTTGTTTCTTAGTTTTTTTCTGTTTTCTGTTATAAAAGTTCTGTCATAAAATGTTCTTTTTTTTGGTTTGTTTTTCATGTGCCCAACCATATCCATTCTAAATTTAATTTTTCCTGTTTGCTTTTGCTAAAAGGATGAACAGTTTCAAATTTCCCTGAAGTGTGTCCTGCTTCCTGTGAGATTGTACACGAGCAAAGTCCAATTCTCACTGCCTGCAGCCATTTTAGAATTTTTTTTTTTTTTCATGCTTGCTGTGTTCCCAGTTTGTAAATTATAAAATTTGAAGGAAAAAATAAAGATAACATAAGCGAAGCATAATGAAATATATGCTTTTAGTTTTATTAGACAAATACTTTATATATTTGTCTTATTTCCCAGGCAATTTCCTGCAAACAAATTGCCCATTTATATTACTTTCAAGATTATGTTATCTTTTCAATTGTAGTTAAATCTATTGCATTTCCGTAACATTACTACTTCTGATTAATCTTTTTTTCTTGTTGTTTTAGATTAGACTGCCATATTAGCAAAGCTGCATTGATTTTCTAAATCCTGTCTTTTAATTTTATGTTTTTTCTTTTCATAGGCATCTCATCATTATAACTGCAATAAATTACCAGGGTTTGCTTCTACAACCCGTAATTTATTGGTCTCATTAGCTACTGGGCAAATAATCTGCCTTTCTGTCTTTTTTTTTTTTTCCTGTTCAGTAAAAGTGGCTGAGTCCACAGTTCAACATTCTTGTATATATGTAACATTGTTTTCCCACAGGGCGGCAGCTTACAATCTTCAACAGCCAAACCACTATACAGATTGGGGGCTGGGAGCGAGACCGAAGTCGATCCTTTCAGGGCCAGCTTTCGGGCCTCTACTATAATGGCTTGAAGGTGTTCAACATGGCCGCCGAGGGGGATCCCAACATAAAGATCCAAGGCAGCGTGCGGCTTGTGGGGGAGTCGCCCTCCTCTATCACACCGCAGTCGAGCACCACGGCCAATCGCTCGGAGACATCCACGTCCATCATGGAGATCACCACCACCACGGCGTCCAGCAGGCGAGTCAAGCAGACTACACCACGAGAGCCTCAGCAGGTGAGATCATCTTGTAAATGATTTTGTCGTAAGTGACTTTCAATCATGTCATTATTGTCTCTACTTGATCCGTTTTGAAATCGTTACAGTGCACAGCGTGAAGTTAAGCACATCCTGGATTAACATAATATATCTCATCATTACGCTCCCATATGAGGAATGTATGCCTTACTTTATCGTGTCACGTCTTTCTTCTCCTTGAGTCTTCTGACCTAAAAACTGAAGGAAAATAAGTCCATTGTTCCACCTATGGGAGCAGCACCACGGGCGCACTGTTGAGCATTTCTCCCTGTGCAATCAGATGTTGCACAGCATGGTGTGTGTGTGTGTGTGTGTGTGTTAGAGTGATAACCATCGTAGAGGTCCTCCATCATCTTTATCTGTCCTGCATGAGCAGTGCAGCATCTGCAGGAGCATATTACTTCTCAGACGTCACAATGTGCGACCGAACAATACAATACAAAATGTGTGTCCCATCAAATGAAATGGTGATCAGAGCATTCTGGCGCAGTCACATTTCCTGTTAAATCTCTTTCAATACAGCAGCAGCCATGGATTTTAAATGAAAAATAGTTTCTATAACAACTAATTATGATGCCATTAAGAAATGTCTTTGTGTCTTAGTTTGAATACCGTATTTGTTTCACACATTGTCCATGTTAGAATTAAATTCCTAATCCAACTGCATCTGCTGAGTTCTAGAGGTTCTCACACTGAAAATGTGAATTTGTACATTTTCTGGAAGTTCAAAACAAAACACTGACTTTATTTACTTTGCTTTGGGAATAAGCTGGCAACAAACATGCTGGAAGAACTTCATTACAATCTAGGAATACCTGCGCACTGAACGGAAGATAGTATTGACTCATTTAGGTCACTAAGAAAAATAGTTTCAGTGGGTTGTTTTTTATCACAACAAAAGAGAGTAGTCAGATTGCAGGAAAGGCTTTCATGCGCTGTTGGAACAAAACGAAAATAGAACTTTCACTGGCCCACAGGAAATGTTCAGCCTGTGCAAGCAATCAAAAAGAAGACCTCGTTGATAACTGAGAAATGTGCTTTAATTGTTCTAGAGTCAAATCTGCTCTCTGGTAGCATTTACAATTGATTAACTACTGAGCATTTCACATCATATGAAACTGTCAAGTTAAGCCCTGATAGGAAGCGAGAAAGATGTAGCTGCAAACATAGAGACCATGAAGGTACTGAAGGTTGTACATGCAGGGGGAATACACATAGTTAACACGTGTGTCAGAATTTCAAATACTCTGTAAATATGCAGCAGGGAAAGCGTACACGGTAGCTTAAATTAAGCATAGACGTAGACTAAAATGACCCTTTAATCAGGACTTAATCAGCTTTTACAAATATAGTTTAAAATCATTTTGGATTTAACTCATTTTGGATTAATCGGATTGGGTAAAGGAAGATTATAGAATCTCCAGGAGGGGGTGGGTTTAACTTCATATTGAATAATATACACACAATCAAAATTATTTGATTTTAATTCCTTTTTTTGACAGATTGTGTAACTTTTTCTGTCTTTACAGCTTCACTGGGACAACAGTTAATACACTCCCATCTCAGTCCATTCGAAGTGTGTTAGAAGAAACATTGTAGAGCAAGCGACGTGTGATGCTGATGTTGATTAGTTTGATTGTCCAGAGGTTACTTAACCAAGATTCTTCAAACCCATTGAAATATTTATTTTCACATTAAGACCTATTGTTGGATTTATCTATAATGAAATCAAAAAAAGCCTTGAACCTTGAATGTTGCTGTATCTCTGAAGCCAGGCTCAAGCTTTTATATGGAACATTCAAAGAAAAGCAAAGTGTCAGGTTTTTCATTAAGTTTAATAGACTGTTCAAGCTACAGCTGATATGAAATGACAAACTCCCACAGATTTCAACGTAGCAGCAGTAAAGACCCCATATTACTGTCCCCTAACTCTCTCTCTCTCTCTCTCTCTCTCTCTCTCTCTCTCTCTCTCTCTTTCTTTCTCTCTTTCCCTTACTGACCTGAGACCATCATAACAGTTTGTGTGAGCCTCTGCAGATGCTGACAAATAATACAATCATAAATATTGATCCAGTGGAATGGTTTTCTCTCAGCCTCAGCATGGTTCCTGAACCGTTGCAGGAGCGTGTAATGCAGGCGAAATATCAGACAATAGACTATAATTATATCCCAAGCTCCATGCAGTGTTATAAATTGCCACCAAGGAACCAAGAGATTGGCAGAAAGGAACAGGCTTGACAAGATGGATGCCCGTCTTTTTCAGGCCTTTTCATCTGGAGAGAAATAAAGTGATATAAATGACCGTGACAATTTAGAAACGCCTTGTATTACAGAGATTTGCGATATGTTTCGGGGCATCTATTTTGTGCCTTAGATGCCATCTGATTTTTGGATATCTGACGTTATGACTTTATGCTAATCAGATTCTGCTTGAATTGTTTCATCAATATGTTTTACCTTGTAGTCGGCTAATCATGGATTTTTGGGGGGAATCCAAGGTCTCCTATTTTAAAAGTATACGGTAAGGCATCAGTAGGGTTACCGGTAAAAAATTTTTTTTTTTTTTTGGCAAAAAAAATTTAGAGACAGGTGTTGTACTGTCACGTTATGTTGCAAACTCACCTTTCAAGTGGCATATAAAGGCTTGGAAGGGGGAGAATAGTCAAGGCTAACTGTGTTGGTTTAGGTGTTATCTAATGCATTCATAGAGAAAAAAAAAAGGTCATCGGATTAAAAAGTTGCTCTGCGATGTAGGCGGAGAGATGAATGAGGCATGCAAAAACGTGGGCACTGGGAGATGTCAGTGCGTTCAGTTTGATTCAACGTGACGACCTTCCCATGGAGAGCTCCTGCGGTACGACATTACCGTCTCAGGACACTACACTTAGAAAGACATCATGTCTGGACTCCATAAAAAGAGATGGTGCATTCAGTGTCCTCTCCCTCGAATAGTCAGCATTTTAATCATTGTCCAGCTGTTCCATCTCCCCTCTGATGGCGAATGCAATTCAGTGAATGGTTTTATATCCTAAGAGCCTTACATTACTGGGACATGTGCATTTTTAGTGTGCCTGGCCCCAGTGGAAATGGGATGGCTAACACTGGCGGCGGCAGTATCAGGCTCTTACCATTAAAGTGAGAAGTGGTGGTGTGGAAAATGTATATCAGGCTGTCGAAGAAGGCACTCGGGTCCAAAATAATAAGGAAAAAATATCCAAGACCTTTTATAGCCCTGTCTAAAAATGAGATGTGATGGCTGTGGCACTTTGGTGTTAACTCAACACACATAAATGTTTAAGTTTGGTTAAAGTCACTTGTTGTAAGTGCCTGTTGCTGTCAATATCATTCCTGACTGTAACGCTGAAGCGGCAGTAAGAGCATCGTTATCTTCCATAATGTGACGCGTTTCCAACTGAAACAAGATATGTGGGCCACGTATAATTACAAGAAAGATTTGACTCAATCCTTCACATATGGTTGGAGCACTCAAAAGAAGGCATAGCTTAACAAGCACGGCGCAATACCAAGCTGTAGAGGAGAGGTGACCTCCACCCACACCTGCCTCATCTGCTTTTTTAGGTTAAGAGGAGGAGAAAAAAAGAGAATTCTTTTTTTTTTTTTTTTTGTATATTTCCCTGCCAGCCTGTATGACCCAAAATCCAACAGTCACATGTTATTTAATACAATCTGAGGCATTACTCAAACCAAGACACATTTGACTAGATGCATTTATCTGCACACCCCTGAGTTCCGATTGAGTCATTCTTTTTTTTTTAATGTTTGCAGGATGGGAAAAAGAGGGATTTTAACATAAGAAATAAAAAAAACAAAACTAATAGTAACATCTTCTATGTGACAGTGGCTGTCGTATGTCTTTTTGCAATGGCCCACTTGTCTCCTAGAGAGTAAAGTCATTGCTAATAATCATTAGTACCATGATTTTGAAGGGTCTGAGATGACTCTGCCTTCTCAGGTGCACCATCAAAAAGTTCTCTAAATTCTCCACTGTGGTTATATTGTTATTGAATACTGAGGGCTGTGGCTTATGGGTAACATTACATTAATGTCATTCTTCTCAAACCACTGGGTGTCCACTCATGCTTTATTAACAAGAATATTATCATCTTGGAGCACACTGGCCTAATCAAGAAAGAAATGCACCATGGTAAAAAAAACAAAAAAGCTCATGAGTCAGAATTGTTATTTTAATAGTGATTAAAATTTTACATTTGCTTAAGGGATAATTGGATTGATTCAATTCCAGGACTTATAACCCACTCAAATACACAGATAGTAAGTAATAGTGAGATTTAGCCTGAATCTTACCTTTATTTTGATCATATCTAAAGGTTCCCTGACTAACAGATTCTTGGCTCTTACATGTCAAGTATTCCCTGGAGTGGCTGTGTGCTCCCTGCCCTACGTGGGAGAGGTAGCTTACTGTATGGGCCGAACTGTCATGTCTTAATGAAGTGTCTGCTCCCTGTGGTGGTGCCTGGTCACATCTAATTAAACCATAATGCACTTGTGTACGCATTCACAAACAACACACCGGCTACTGTACACATACACCAAGAGGTGCCCCTCACTTCTCTTGTATATAGATGGTGACTTAATTGGACTACTCCTACCTCACTTTCATTTATTTATTGTTGAAAATAAGTGCTTCGCCCATTGCACCTAAAGACGGAAAATTTTGTGTGAGCTAATTGGAGAGAAATTTGAGATATACAGTATCTGCTGAGGTCAATTTGGAGCCCAAACTGCCAACCCACGCAGGTCTAATAGCAACACTAGCTGCCAATGGTGAGGCACTTTCAGCGCTTTCTAGCTCTCATTAATCTGTGTCTGTGGTCCTCAACAAAACTTTTTCATCATTTTAAATTGTGACAAAGCTGAATTTCAGAAAAAAAAATTGTGCAAGCTCTCCTGACGTATTTTTTTTTTCCATATACATTCGGTAACATTTAACAGCAACT